AAAAGAAAAACAATTTAAAGTTATTTTCATTTAAAATAAAATATTTTAATTACGTCTGCCGTCATTTATTTATTTATTTTTTTTTTTCATCTCTTGCAAATGCGAAAAAAAAAATTTGATAAATACGAACGTTTTTACACGAGAATGAATGAATGAACGAATGAATGAATGAATGAATGAATGAAATGGAAAAATTTTTTGTTTTTTTTTTTTTTAGTAGCAGCAGCAGCAGAAGAAGAAAATGTCTCGTTTAAATTGTTGTGGTTTTTTTTTTTTGTTTTTCCTTTTTGTGATTAAAATTTAATTAGCGATCGATTTTGTTTACTTTTTTTTTTTTTTTTTTCCTCGGGGAGCCTCTAAAACGATAATTTTCTAACGTTTATTATTATTATTATTATTATTATTATTTTTTTTTTTTTTTAAAAAAATGATTCTCGTTAATTAATTAGCAGTCATTTTTTTTAAAGGTTTTTTTTTGTTTTCCCTTTACTTTTTAATTTATTATTATTTGATTTAAAAAAAAAAAAAAAAAAAAATTTTAAAGAGGTTTTAATTTCCCTCCCTTTCCCGTTTTTCGGGTTTTTAATTAAATTTTTATTGTTGTTGTTGTTGTTGTTGTTATTTCTTCATTGTTATTATTTTGGTGGATGTAAAAGAAAGAAAATTCGTCTCTCGAGTAGTTTCTATTTAATTAATTTTTAGTCGGATAAATAAATAAATAAATAAAAAAGGTGTGGGAAGACTCTGGGAAATTTTTTCAATTTTCCGGTCATTTTCCACCGGGATTTCTTCGATCTCGAAAATAATAATAATAATAATAATGATAATAAATGTTATTAAATTTTACTGAGCAGGAAGGAAAATCCGGGTTAAAACGATTATTTTAATTTTTTTTTTTTTTTTTTTGGACAGGGGTACCTGAATTTTTTTTTTTTTTTTTACTAACTGTGATGAAATGACGTCATCGTGTATAATTTTTCTCTAATTATTAAAACTGATTCATATTGTTTAATTGTTTTTTTGTATAATTGACGGGATATTTTCACTGTTTCAGAATCACAGTACTCATATCGAAGTAGACAATGAGGGAAAGCATCGGAAAAATAGTAATTCACACGAAATCGAATTGGTCGAGGTGACAAGAGAGGGACACGAACGAGCCGATCCAAGTCAGTTCGAGTTGCTCAAAGTTCTCGGTCAGGGTTCGTTTGGAAAAGTCTTCCTAGTCCGAAAAGTAGTCGGTAAAGATAAGGGAGTCCTGTACGCCATGAAGGTACGTTCGAGATTTTATCAAATCTCGATGTGATCTTTCATTGAATTATCGTTGTGACATTGTTGTTGTTGTTGTTTTGTAAAAAGGTATTAAAAAAGGCGACGTTGAAAGTGAGGGATAGGGAAAGAACGAAAATGGAGAGAAATATTCTAGTCGACGTTCGGCATCCATTCATTGTCCGATTGTTTTACGCTTTTCAAACGGATGGAAAATTGTACCTGATATTGGATTTTTTAAGGGGAGGAGATTTATTCACGAGACTTTCGAAAGAAGTTATGTTCACGGAAGAAGACGTTAAATTTTATTTGGCCGAATTAGCGTTAGCTTTAGATCACATACATTCTCTCGGAATCATTTACAGAGATTTGAAACCGGAAAAGTAAGGGAGTAATATTATTTATGGGAGAGGGGGGGGGGAAACACGTGAGCTCAAACGTAAACGTCATTCAATGGCGGATGCGCACGTGCAAATGCGTGTAGTATTTTCTAAAATGGTCGCATAATAAATGTATTATTCTCTTTGGACTTTTAGCATACTTTTAGACGCCGACGGTCACATTTCATTAACGGATTTCGGATTAAGTAAGCAACCGTTGGAAGAACCGACGCCCAAAACGTATTCATTTTGTGGCACAGTTGAATACATGGCGCCGGAAGTCGTTAACCGGAAAGGACATTCATTTGCCGCCGATTGGTGGTCTTTCGGAGTGTTAATGGTGAGTACACGATCCGAGATGAATGCAAATAATTTTGTTTTGTTTTTGTCAAAAATTTAAATGTGAATGGATGATATTTTCAGTTCGAAATGCTGACGGGATCTTTACCATTTCAAGGAGCCAACAGAAAGGAAACGATGACGATGATATTAAAAGCGAAACTCGGAATGCCGCAATTTCTATCGCAAGAAGCTCAATCCCTTTTGAGAGTTCTTTTCAAAAGGAATCCTTTGAATCGATTAGGCGCGGGTCCCGAGGGAATAAAGGAAATTAAAAATCATTCGTTTTTCGCGACCATAGATTGGGAAAAATTATTCAACAAGGAAATTCAACCGCCTTTCAAGCCGGCGGTGTCGAGAGCAGACGACGCGTTTTATTTCGACAGCGAATTCACGTCGAAAACTCCTCGAGGTTGGTATTACTTATTTGTTTTTTTTTTTTTTTTTGTAGCGACCATTTTGACTTTCTTTTCCTTTTTGTTATTATTATTATTATTATTTTATCTATACAGATAATTATAAGTTATTATTATTATTATTATAATAAGGAGTTATCATATTTGAAAATGTGCGTAAAATTTCGCGGTCGGACTCGATGAATTTATTTGATATTTTCCGTTCCATATCAAATATTGTGAAACGAAAATGTTTTTACTTGTTTATGTTTTTATTCGCCATTTTGATTATGATAATAATAATAATGTTTTTTAATATTTCAAGAATTTTGATTTCAGTTCGTATTTTATTTTCAATAATTACAACTCTCATGTTCATACCGATATTTTTATTAGCCTGCCTAAAAACGATATGTTCGATATTCACGTTTCGAACGTTTTCATTTTTGGTTTTGATGTGCATAACGAATTGTTTTTGCTGTTATTTTTCGTTCGAAGATTTTTTTTCCGTTTTTTTTACCGTTAATTTCATAATAGCGAGTTTCAGCCTGATAAAAAGCATTTTCGAAAGATGAGATTGAAATCCTCACATTCACACGCACACGCACACGAATAAACGCACACGCATGAACGAACGCGAGCATGAACGAACGTAACGACGCGCCACGAACGCGTTAAACGTATGTATATATATGAAGTGTATACATAGGAAAAATGAATGAGGGCCGACGACGACATGCGAACGTGTACGTAGAATGTAATAAACGTTCGATGACGGAAAAAAAACGTTCGTTTTTTAAAAAAAATTTATTTTTATATTTTAGTCTTTCTTCTTTTACGAAGATGGCGGCGGCGGTGGTACCGGTACCTGCGATTATTCCTCCTCTCCTTTCCTCTCATCTCCTCCTCTTCTTCTCCTCAAGCTAACCAGAAAAAAAATTTCTGAGCTTGTAAGTGTTGCAAAAAAAAAAAAATGCGTGGAATACAAGGATATAATAATAATAATAATAATAATAACGATTCTTTATTTTCTTGCTAAATTATTTATTTATTTATTTTATTTTATTTAATTTGAATTTTTTTTATTGTAGATTCTCCAGGCGTACCTGCGAGTGCCAACGCTCATGAATTATTTCGGGGATTTAGTTTTGTGGCTCCCTGTCTTTTGGAAGAATCATCGTCGGATGCCGACGTACCGGAAAAAGTCAATAATGACTGCCTTTCGAAAGTGAGCTCCCTTTCATCGAATGAATTTTTGTAAATGAAACGTTGTGAATGAATTTCGTTATTATTATTATTTATTTATTTTTTTTTTTTTTGTGCGGGTAGCAATTAGCTTTTGTCAAATCAACATCAATACAAGATGAATACGAGTTGAGAGAAGAAATCGGTAGAGGAAGTTATTCCGTTTGCCGCAAGTGCCTCCACAGAACTACGAAAATCGAATACGCGGTTAAAATGATCGATAAGAGCAAAAGAGACTGTCAAGAGGAAATTGAAATACTTTTACGATACGGTCATCATCCGAACATAGTCACGCTCCGAGATGTTTACGAAGATGAAAGATACGTTTATCTCGTCATGATTTTACTAAGAGGAGGCGAACTATTGGAAAGGATACTCAAATTAAGAATGTTTTCAGAAAGGGAAGCTGCCAATGTAATGCACGTCATTGTTTCAACCGTACAATATCTTCATAATAACGGAGTAAGTATAAGAAATTGGATTTAAAAGACGAAGGGAGAGAGAGAGAAATAAAATAAAATGAAATACAAATTATGTTTTTTTTATTCAACAGGTAGTTCATAGAGATTTAAAACCTTCTAATCTTCTTTACGGGTCGGAACAAGGCAACGCGGAAAGTCTCGTCATATGTGATTTTGGATTTGCCAAACAACTTCGAGCAGACAACGGTTTACTCATGACTCCTTGTTACACGGCTAATTTCGTGGCACCAGAAGTTCTCAAGAGGCAGGGTTACGACGCCGCATGTGATATATGGTCGTTGGGAGTCATACTCTTCACGCTTTTAGCCGGGTACTCGAATTCTTTACAAGATACTTTATTGATTCGTCGTGAACGTAGAGTTATTCATTAACGTTGACGTTTTGTCTGTTGCAGCCACGCTCCGTTCGCCGGCGGACCGATGGATACTCCGGCCGAAATACTTAAACGCATCAGCAACGGAAAACTAGACCTGGAATCGGGGAATTGGTCGTGCGTGTCAAACGAAGCCAAAGACCTTGTCCGTAAAATGCTGCACGAGGATCCTCATCGTCGTCCCACGGCCGGACAAATCCTTCAAAATCCCTGGATAGCACGTCGAGCTTTGCTCCCCGCGAGACGTCTCATCGTTCAAGATGCTCTCTCTCTCAAAGGCACCGTGGCAGCTACGTATCGGGCCATTAGTCAATCCCCTCGTGCTCCCGATCTCGGTCCCGTAGTCATGTCCGAGCTGGCAAGAAGAAGGAGGAAATCCCGGCCGAAATCCACATCGACGGATCCATAAACAATGTGTTCATGCCAAATAATTAAAGGTAGATTTCTTTGTTCTCTCTTCTCTTCACTCTTCCCTATCCTCTCCTATCCTCTCCTCTCTTTCCTCTTCCCTATCCTATCCTCTCCTCTCTTTCCTCTTCCCTATCCTCTCCTCTCCTCTCTTTCCTCTTCCCTATCCTCTCCTCTCCTCTCTTTCCTCTTCCCTCTCCTCTCCTCTCCTCTCTTCCCTATCCTCTCCTCTCCTCTCTTCCCTCTTCCCTATCCTCTCCTCTCTTCTCTTCCCTATCCTCTCCTCTCCACTCCTCTCTTCCCTATCCTCTCCTCTCTTCCCTCTCCTCTCCTCTCTTCACTCTTCCCTATCCTCTCCTCTCCTCTCTTTCCTCTTCCCTATCCTCTCCTCTCCTCTCTTTCCTCTTCCCTATCCTCTCCTCTCCTCTCCACTCCTCTCTTCCCTCTTCCCTATCCTCTCCTCTCCTCTCCACTCCTCTCTTCCCTCTTCCCTATCCTCTCCTCTCTTCTCTTCCCTCTTCCCTATCCTCTCCTCTCCTCTCCACTCCTCTATTCCCTCTTCCCTATCCTCTCCTCTCCTCTCCACTCCTCTCTTCCCTCATCCCTATCCTCTCCTCTCCTCTCTTTCCTCTTCCCTCTCCTCTCTCTTCCCTATCCTCTCCTCTCCTCTCTTCCCTATCCTCTCCACTCCTCTCTTCCCTATCCTCTCCTCTCCTCTTCTTCACTTCTTTTCTCTCTTCTCTTCTTTTCTTCTCTTCTCTTCTCTTCTCTCTTCTTTTCTTCTCTCTTCTCTTCTCTTTACTTTTCTTCTCTCTTCTTTTCTTCTCTTCTCTTTACTTTTCTTCTCTCTTCTCTCTTCTTTTCTTCTCTTCTCTTTACTTTTCTTCTCTCTTCTTTTCTTTTCTTTTCTTCTCTCTTCTTCACTTCTCTTCTCTTGTCTTCTTTTCTTCTCTTCTCTTCTTTTCTTCTCTTCTCTCTTCTTTTCTTCTCTTCTCTTCTCTCTTCTTTTCTTCTCTTTACTTTTCTTCTCTCTTCTCTCTTCTTTTCTTCTCTTTTCTTTTCTTCTCTCTTTTCTTCTCTTCTCTCTTCTTTTCTTCTCTTCACTTTTCTTCTCTCTTCTTTTCTTCTCTTCACTTTTCTTCTCTCTTCTTTTCTTCTCTTCACTTTTCTTCTCTTCTCTCTTCTTTTCTTCTCTTCTCTTTACTTTTCTTCTCTCTTCTTTTCTTCTCTTTACTTTTCTTCTCTTCTCTTTTCTCTTCTTTTCTTCTCTTCTCTTCAGTTCACTTCTCTTCTCTTCTCTTTACTTCTTTTCTTCTCTTCTCTTCTTCACTTCTTTACTTTTCTTCTCTTCTCTCTTCTTTTCTTCTCTTCTCTTCTCTTTACTTTTCTTCTCTCTTCTCTCTTCTTTTCTTCTCTTTACTTTTCTTCTCTCTTCTCTCTTCTTTTCTTCTCTTTACTTTTCTTCTCTTTTCTCTTCTTCTCTTCTTTTCTCTTCTCTTCTTTTCTTCTCTTCACTTCTCTCTTCTTCTCTTCACTTCTCTCCTCTTCTTTTCTTCTCTTCTCTTCTTCACTTCTTTACT